CTTAAATGTGTATTTTTTCTGGCATACTCACTAGTATACACAAAGAATTTATTCTAGTCAGTAACAAGAAGGTCTCACCATTTACAGGTGCACACTCTTGCTTGATATCACTTCTGAACCTGGTTTTATTATGTCTTATGAGACATACAATGATTCACAACACTAGACAAAAATATACCAAACAGTATCAAATTAGTTGTGATGCACTTGAAAGGTAGCAGTAGTAGGCTCAAATGGCACATATACAAGTAATAAGAACTCTACATAGACATTGTTTCTTAGCCTTTTTTTGGCTAACACCTTACTTTGAGTATGAAATCTAGGCATTATATGTAATTTCCAAATGAAAATATGCATTCTCCAAAGTGAGTATTTAAGGGTTTGAGTGCTTAATAAACATCACTTATTATGAATTTCAGTAATAAGAATCATTGTTTTAAAAGCTGAATTAGAAAATGAGACTAATATTTTTCACTGTTTCCTACACTGTTTGCTTCTTTAAACCCCCTGATCCCCATTATTATCAATTAAGCCCTCTCTATCAAGTACTGCACTAGGTGGTGTGGATACGAAAAATAATAAACCAAAAAAAAGAAAAATGATAAACCATGCTCCTTGCTCTCAGGGCGCTCACAGTCTGCTGCTCCTTCTTAGTTAAACAGAAAAAACTGGCCTATACCTTAGACTGTAAGGTTGAACAGTGACAGTATTTGCAGGTCAGTTTAATCCGTTTAATTTGGCATAATACTTTAGAATGTCAGCTTCTAAAAGATGCAGAATATCTTGAATATGCTCCATTTTTATACTTCTCACACTAGAGTCAGTTTGTGTATATGTAGCAATGGTAGGGTTCAGGGAAGGCTGGGAGAGAAAATTGAGAGGCCACATGAGAAAGATGGTGCTCCATTCTGGCAACAGAAGTTTTAGTGAAGATTGGAAGAGCTCATTTTTATTTGAAAACAAACACTTTTATTATGGAGAATGCAAAATTCACTTACATTTTTAAGACAGAACATGAAATTTCATATTAATGGTGGTCTGCTTATGATTTTGCTCTCAGGCCCCTTCCCCCACACATTCATGCTCCTCTGCTTTAAGGTTATGCTGGTGGACAAATCTGAGAAGCAAACTCTTAGATACATTACTTTGCCCCACCTTGGGCACTTCACTCGTTCTTAGAGGTTCTCTTTTAACAGGGAAGGGGAAAGGTGACTTAGTGAATATAACAGTGTGGTGAATATTTTAAAGTAACTAACAGTCAACACTAAAGATCTTCCTTTAACTTTGTTTCCATTCAGAGCTAAATTATGCCTATAAAGTCAGACATTGAGAGATTCTCTTCTTTCTATTTAGACATCTTACGGGTTGTGGTAAGACACTTTGAGTGACAAGTGTGGAAAAACTACCTCAAATCTTGTGCTTTGGATGATCAAGCCATAAGGAAACCTGAAATAAAATGCTAGATCAATCGACCATTCATTTTGATTAACATGACTCTTCCCTCATCAGTTTCTAGAGCAATCTCAGAAAACAAAACTGTAAAAGGCCATAATAAATTAACATACAGTAGTAGTCAAATGGATCAAAATAGGTTAGGAAATAGATTTAAAATTACTTCTTATATTATTCTGATAATAACAAAAAACCCACCAATATTCCATAAACAAGCACTGTTTATGAATAAATTTAAAGCATTCTGAATGAATACAGTTAAGATTTCTTTTCAGTGAGGTAATAGGGCAATAGCTTTTCACAGTAACAAAACGTAGGAGGGTGCCTAGGAAAAGAGGGAGGTAGAGAAAGAATGGCATAAAATTAAATGTATCCAAGTGGAATTTGGATTTTTCAAGCATTACAAACATCAAGAAAACATCTGAAAGAAATAGCAATAGCAGCAGTTCATACAACAATTCTCCAGTAAACTCCAGTCAATATCTTTGTTGCATCAATTCCAGAAGCAACCTGCTTAAGAAATGGGAAGTAGATTTCCTATATGAAGATATTCCAAAGTATCCAATTTCTACTCTATTTGCTGAAGTTGCTACATCCAAATAATAATACTATATTTAAACCAAAAACCTCAAGTGTCCTACAACGCTTCAAGATGAACAAAATTGTGTTCAAGTCTCATAATTTGCCAGGTTAAATTAAAAATAACATCCCAGCAAGACTTTATTCATTGCACTCATGCATTGCACTACTTAAAAATATACAAAAACTATTTTGTGAGCTAAATTTTTCTAAATATGGAGTGAAACCCAAATGTGACTTTCAGTGCTCTTCCATATTTGCTCAAACACAAGTTTTAAAGACAGTGTTGAAAGGAACCTTAAAGAGCCATCTAGTACATCCCTTAATATTTAAAAATTTAATTCCCTTAAAAACAATTTTCTTAAAAGAAGATTGAGAATAGAAGACTTCATTACAAGCCCTGTTCAAGAAGTTCTTAAATCTGAACTTGAACTTTTCATGCTGCTCCTTTTTTTTTTTTTTTAAGATCTCTATTCTTTCTTGTTCTGTCCTCACTAGAGATGGATAACAGTTTGTCATATTACTTCTTGCTTTGAGGTTTTCAATAAAAGCCTCAATTAATAATTTGAGACTTACTAAATTATCTCAACAGCTTTCTCCTCTTCAGTTAAATGACCTTAATTCCTTGAACTTTTTCTTAAGAGGTTTTATTTTTCAACCTATATTTTATTACTATTTATTTTTTCTATATCCACTCCAGAGTTCTCATATGATCTTAAGACACAACATCTTAGTGTGAATTGAATCCATAAAAGAACTCCTTTTTCTCATCTCCTAAAACTGGCCTCTTTTTAATGGTCACTGATAAAGAAAACCAATAGGCTCACTATCCACTCATCACAATAACAAAGCAACACAAGTAAACAACTTACACTCAGTCTATTTATTCCCTACTTTTAGGGTGATAAGTTTGTCATTCACAAGAAGCATTTCTTGTTGCCTTATTGACCTTTCTCGTTTATTTCTACTATTTATCTCTAATTTATGCTTTGATCTTATACCATTAATTCTTTCCTTTTCCCCAAAGCTCTAAAAAATCCCAGCTTTGCTCTACACACTTAATGAAAAAGCATTTGTTTCCATGATATTGTTCATGAAAAGAAAGGGATAAACAATGCAGTGCCCAAGGCTGATGCTTACCTACCAGCACTGTTGTCTCTCCTGGCTGACTTGGGTGATCACTAGCTTGTTAGATAGATAGTGTGCACCCACTAAGTCAAGTTCCTATTAAATATCATGCTTAGACAGATTCAAGAGCTTGGCTAGAATCAACTAATTCCTTCAGTCTATATAATTTGGGAACATTTGTAAACTCCTGTTAATTTTAACTTTGAAGTTTTTAAGTTTCGAAATAATATTCCAAGCTTCAGTAATTTTTCACCTTGATTAAGAAGACCCAAATGTTGCATTATATTAAAATAAAAAAATAAAACTGCTTTCTTTATAATAGAATGAAAATCATGACATGGCTTTAGTGATTATGAATGGACTGTCAATCATTTTTGCTCCACTCTGTTCTTCAGTCACTGAAACACTGATACTAAAAACAAATATACATATTTTTCATATATACATAGCATTTTTCATACCACTTTGTAGAACACAGGCCATTTCTTAAATTACAATATACATTCCTAAAAGCAAATAAACAAAAAAACTCTATGCATTTCTTCTTCAGTGAAAAGCCTTTGAAGACAAGCTCATTCAGAAAAATGATGCTCTACATTTAACTAGCTGCCTATTACCTACAGTCACACAAGATCCAGCTATATGAAAGTAAGAAAGGAACAAATGAACAATAGTGGCAATACAAAAATTTGAAAACTATTATTTGGATTATATGATTCAATCAAATGTTAGCTGACAGCTATGACAAACCAAACCACGATTTAATGAATATTCTAATCAGTTCAAGTTTTACATTATTATTTTTTTAAGAAATAAATTCTCTAACACCAGTGCTATTTCCTATAGGCAATTCATTTAGTTCTATTACACCCAAGGCCTTGTTCCTGTTACTTCTTAAGTATATCCCATGTGCTAAGTATGCTGTGACGTATAGAACAGGATACACTTTTAAGAAGGTTAAATAGCACTTCTCTCTATTAAGTCTTTTTCAGAAGACTGCAGTCAACCAGCAGTGACCTTCCAATAAATATTTTTCCACATTAAAAAAGGTTAGTGGTTATGTGATCAGATATTCTACAGAAACTAGCAAGATGTTAGAATAAATTGGACCTTAGGTTTAAAACATGTGGTTTTAAGTGCTTCATAATACTTAAATCTGGATGTTTTATTTTTCAATAAAATTATCATTATTTTATAAGTTAAAGGAATAAAGTGACTTAAAAAATGTAAATCAAAAGTTAGACTTCTAAATAAATTCAGAGCTTCTTTATCAGTTCAGATTTTTCTCTTTACTTAATGGTTATGATAACTGACACTCAATTTTAACATGAAGATCCCTAATTAAGGTTATATTAAGCCTGCTTTTATTAGGATCTTTATTTACACTAAAGATTTTTAAATCATTGAATCTTTGACATAGAAGGGAAGCACCTATGTAGTTTGGAAGATTTTACTTAACTGCTAAACATTAACAAATGCAATTATATCCAATGCAGGAACATTGTTTTGGTTCATACCAGACCCAGGGAAGGCACTGAGAAATTTGACAAGAACAAAGTCACGAGGTGTGTTGCCACTATTGTTTTATGTTCGGTAAACACTGGAATTTTACATACATACGTACATACTGCACCAAGAGCACCTGAAACAAGAGGTGCTGAAACCACACACTGTAACATCTGCTCTAACTGAGAAATTCTAAATATTCTATTTTAAATACTCTAATTTGTGTATTAATAACTTCGATATAACAATGACACTTTACCACAGCAATCTGGGAGCAGTGCCATGTTCTCACGGACTTTATTTAACTAACTCTACAGTTACATAACATTTACCTGTTTTTCTTTTAACACCGTGCGATACACAACTACAAGAGTAAAGAACTAAGCTTTATCAGACTTTCATAAGGAAACTCACTTTTGTATTGTTATGTTTTTGTTAAAGGAAGAATGATGTATTACTATAATACTTCTAATGTAATGACTTTTGTTCAAGATTATGAAAAAATGTGATTCATTTCCCTCCAGACCATCTCATTTTCAAATTTACACAGTGTGTTTAGTTAGTTGACTAAAAAGAAGGGAAGAAAATGGCCTGATGAGAGAGAGAATGCTAACACAAGATTCCACGCATGGAGTCCTTGGTGGTTCTATTCCATACGCCAGTGCAAAGTACTGAGATGGACCGGTGTACACCTAAGCAGAACGCCAGATCAGTCCATTCTTATTGGGCTCAAGAAAATTCTCAATCAGAGTTTCAATGAGTTTCTTCAGTTCTTCTTCTAATAAGGTAGTGTTACTAAGGAAAAAGATTAAGAATTTTGAAATTCTTTGTTTTCATAGCCTTCAAATATGTTTAAATTGCTATAATTTTTTAAGAGGGCATGTTACCTGATGAAATGATTAAACATCTGGTGAACTAAAGAGAAATTCACTCACTTAAAACAATAGCAACAACAACAAAAAGAGCCCCATCCCCCCCAAAAAAATCACACACATAAAGAAAACACCACCACCATAAACTAACGTTGAATTACATTAACAAGAGTTCCTTGGTACATGATAAATGAATGAGTTATAGTATGTGTAAAAAGTTCTCTAAGTCAGGCAATTTAATAACTTAGACCACCAATAGAGGGTATTAAAATAAAATAGCTTCCTGAAATTCTTCCAAAGAGTGCTCAGTACAGACATTATGGGCTTATCTTTCAGACAGCAGAGGGAAGTGTGATGATTACACCAATGAGATGTTTAAAAAACAAATATGTACTTAAAAGTTTGCCTTTCAAACCCATCATCTGAGGAGCTGCTATTGTCTAAAACATTTCTAGGCAAGTCTCTCTTAAAATGCTTTCATAGTCATTTTACAAGCTATAGAAGAAGTCAATCTTTATTATTTAATAACCATCTTTTATTTTTTAAAAAAATGGTATTAATGTGGATATACATAAACATATATATATAATTATTCTTCATTTTAAACCACATACAGATAGTCCCTGATTTAGACAGGGTTCTATTCCAATGATACCGTTTTAAGTCGGTTCTGATATAAGTCAACTACCTCATTTTTTTCTTTATGATTGCCTTTTATTATCAATATCTTTATAAGTCAAATCTTTATTTGTCTTTGGAGGTTGGCATGAGAATGATAACATCAGCAAACTACTCACTGCAACACTGTATGTAGTACATACTAATGATAAGATGTAAAAAAAACAAAAAACAAAGTGGATGGTTTTAAGTGTGGTTCATGGTAACCTGAATATGTCATAAGTCGGGGTAAAAAAGAGTTACCATATGATCCAGCAAGTCTTCCTAGATATCTACCAGGAGAGATGAAAATATGTCTGCACAGAAACTTGTTTATGAATGTTTACAGTGCCATTGTTCGTAATAGTCAAAAAGTGGAAACAACCTAAATGTCCACCAACTAATGAATGAATATATAAAACATTATCTATCCATACAATGGAATATTATTTGGCATTTAAATGAAACAAAGTACTGACATACTACAACATGGATGAACCTTGAAAACATTATGCTAAGTAAAAGAAGCCAGTCACAGAGGATGAAATACTGTAGGATTCCATTTATATGAAATGTCTAGAAAAGGCAAACTTATACAGACAGAATGCAGAATACTAGCTGTCTAGGGCTAGGGATGGGAAGATCAATGGGCAGTACTTGCTAATGACTATGTGGTTTCTTTTTGAGGTAAAAGTTCTAAAACTAATCGTGGGTATGGTTGCACAACCCTGCGAATATACCAAAAACCACTGAATTATATACTTTAAATGGATTAATTATATG